GCAGTGACGCCATCATAGCTCACTGATCCATCCTGCCGCAACCTCCCAAGTAGCTGGAACTAATAGGCATGTGCCACCACACGCCCAGCTAATTTTTTGTAGAGACAAGAGTCTCACTATGTTGCCCAGGCTGGTCTCGAACTCCTGGCCCCAAGCAGTCCTCCCGCCTGAGCCCCCAAAGCGCCGGGATTATAGGTGTGATTGGCCATGCCGACCTACCCAGGCTTTTTAATAATTTGTTTTGGTGGAAAGGTTAGTCTGCTACAAACTGTTCTATCGTGATGAGGAAATTCTTGATCACTGACTTGGGGTCTAATAATGCTTCAGAATACATGACAGATGTTAGCAAAACAGTACAATCTTTCTTCCACCCTTGATGCACTGTGGATTTCAAATTATTACTTGATGCTAATTTTATTGTGTTTGACTATAATTACTTTGTCCTATAACCTCATAATATTCATGGTATGAAGTAGTATGAATGAATTAATAATTGGTGTTTTGGTTTCATATCTACTGAGTACATTGGGAAAAGTATTCATGGTGACATTTGATTATTTCACAATTTATTTCTTCATAGAAAACATTCTTCATTGTGCATAGCTGGATGAGTATATTTTTTATTCTCTTTGTACATTGGCCCATGTCATTCTACTGTAGTGTCAATGTTTATTAAGGCTTATTGTAAGATCTCCATTAGATGCTACCCTCTCTTTCTGTCTATGAGACACCAGGGCAGGAAGCAGTAGTGAGTAAGCTATTAAGGCATGTCTTTTTTTCCCCCTAAAGGTCTTAAACTGCAGAGGAATTGAAAGCTGCTCAGACATCCGTTGCTTATGGCTGTATCAAATATGCCGACCTTTCCCATAGCGCGTTGAAGACTACATTTCTCCTTTGATAAGATGCTGGATGACAGAGGAAACACAGCTTGCTTACTTGTTGTATGCCTTCACGAGAATCAGGTAATTGTGGTAGACATTGCTTTATTTTGTATTGAATAGAGGCTACTTGGGTTGCTCCAAAATTTTTTCTCTGATTTTTCTTGTACTAGCCTTTTTGGAAATATGTCCTCTTTTAGAATTGCAGGTTATACTGGAATCCCTAAGCCTGTCCCTGTTTGCTCTGGCAGATTATCTCCTAGGCCATTCATGGTTTAAATACCAGGAAAGTATCTTCTGACCTTGCCTAAAGAATTATATTCCCATTTTTAATAATATGAAATGCTTTAGACCAGATTATTTATTTGCCTAATAGTATACCCTACAATAAATTCTTCATTTTTAAGAACTTCTTAATGACGATAATTTCTGATTTATGTCAGTTACTTGTTCTGATTTTTGAGTGGAGAAGAATGAGTTTGCCTAACAAAAAGGAAAATGACGGTTGCCTATTTTCAGGTCTATTGCACGCCTGGCCAATATCGATGAAGAGATGCTCCAGAAAGCTGCTCGAGAGACCAAGATCAATTTGGGACACGAGAAGGAATGGAAACTAGGCGGTGCATTTTACGATTCCCTGAGATTGTGCAAAAAATTTTTGTAGATGACTTATTTCTCCACACTCTCTGTGATTACATTCTATGAGTTGGGACACTACTTTCACAGAGTTCTACGATAGCTGCTACTGTGTGGAGAAAGACCGGACAGGACTGGTGAGGTGCCTCAGTTAGTGTGCCAGCTGGGCGGTGGAGTGTCATCAGGGCATTTGAATTAGGAGGGTTTTCCATTTGTTTTATTCATGAAAGCCTCCCTCTTTCTCCCACAAATGATAGCACAGTCATCCGTATCATTATAACAGGCAAATTTGAACTTGTGCTTAAAAAGCAGATTCTTCTCTTTGTTTTTCGCTATCAGGGACATGGGATAGAATGTAAACAATTGGAAGACTACTGGGTATAGAACGATTGCCAATAAAAGTAGTGTCTAAAGGTCCCAGAATTTTGCATAATTAAATAGACTGAATTAATATATTTTAATAATTTTCAAAAAGAAAAACAATATCTTCTCTTTTCTTCTCAGGAAAAATGCTGAAGGTCAACCATGTGGGCGTATGCTGCTGTGTGAAGCAGTAGCTGCTGTCATGGCCAAGGGATTTGATATCCTGGAATAAACCTGTCCAAAGGATGTAGTCCTTCGGTTTAAACAACTGTGTTGTTACCAAAGTGGCCATTAGCACTGGTTTGTTTTTTACATCATGTGGATACAAAAACAAGTAAAGAAAATTTGTAACTATCTATGCAAATGTAGTTCTTTATATCTTCTCATCTAAATATAGAAAGACAATTATCTCATAAATATTGGCTTATTTTACTGAGTCAATGATTTAGTAGTAGGCCATGAATAAAGGATTCACCCAAGTGAGTTTATTGGGCTTGTAGGAGTGGTGTGTTCATTAGTTTTTTGTATTATTTTTACAGACAGGTGTCTATGGCTGCGAGCTGACCGCTGACTCGCTGGGCTTCAAGTGATCTCTCTGCATCAACCTCCATGAGTAACTGGAATACGTCGGCCACTGCTCCTGACACCTAAATTTTAATTAGATAAGGAATATCCCATTTATTGAGCTCTACCATAGGCCCAAGGCTTTGCACGCCTTTATTGTCCCATGTATTCTCATTTGTTGCCTTTTTGATATTATCTGTGTTTACAGTAACGAACTGAGGCCTGGATGGCTCAGATCTCTCT